TAAAAGAAATGGGACAGTATATGGGAACAGAAGCAGGAAGAGAATGAAGAAAAATTAGGCCATTAGGCCCCATGTCCATTTAACAAAGCCATCACTTTCAGAGTCCAATTAGTATCTGAGTAACTGTCATGAGTGACTAAGGAATTTCTTACAGTGGAGCCATATTTAGACAGACAACTATAGACAAAATATTGGTGAAAGAGAAATAGCACAATAAAGTTCAGAGACTGGCTAAGTTGGTTCATGGAGTTTTGAAATACCAAGAGTTAGAGGCGTTCTGCACAGTTAAGTGGCATGAAGTCTACATGAGAATCCTTCTCTGCATTGACATCAGCCAGGTTTGCAATATTTTCCTTGGTTCTTTAGAACCCTCATCACTATAAGGAAGCCCTAATATAGCTTCAAGCACAATATAGGTTTGTCTACTACTCTGGGCTTTCCCAAAGGTCACACAAGAAGTTACTGCAAAACACTTAGTCTCTGTACCTCAGTTTCTTTAGCTAGAAAATGGGTATACTTATTTAACTCACAGGAACATTACAGGATTAATTCCTTAGTGTTTGGAGTGAACTTTGACAATCTATACAGAGTGCACTGTAGAAGTGTAGTGCATTATGAAGTTAATCAGTTCTCAGTCCACTAACTAGGATAGTAAATAAGGGCTATGTTTTCTTTAAAATAACTGTTTCAGGATCAGCTTTTTGGAACTATAGAAAATCACTGTCAGGTGCCAACTACAGGACCCAATGAAGTTAGTAAAAGATGAAGGCACTCAACTCCCCAGAGAACTGGACCTTTAATATGACTCATTTCTTGGTCTGAATGTTCTCAGGCAGCTTTCAGAATGTCAAATCAGACACTGAGCCTACATAATTACATCTCTTAATGACGTGGGCAGTAAATTCTGTTTTTAATTTACCAACTGCCATCATCCTGCAAGTCACTCTGTAATGGTTAATGTAGAGAATTCTGTCCAGCTGCATCTCTGGACTTAAGTCCAGTAGAACTGTGGTCACAAAACTTTTTCATAAGGAGGATAACGTCTTACAGTGTCTCATGAATTACCAACCATTCTATTTGCAATCTCATAACAGCTCTGTGGCATCACCAGCAATTGCTTACAGGGAAGAATAATGTTAGAAAAGCAATGCCGTTTTGCTATTTTTTAAAAAAGCTATTTAGTAGTTGCAAATGAGGAGAGAGTGCTATGTGACTATCAGGCCTGCAATGACCCTACAATAGCTCAGCAGATGACCAGCAATCCTTAGAACCAAGGAACTTCTTGGGAACTCCTAGTACACACATGCTACATTTGACTGAAATAGACCACCACACTAACTTGATGAGATGCACTGAAATCAGATGAAATTAGCTAGTGCTCTTGGGGAAGTATCAGGGCTTGATTTTCAATTGAACCTCAACTCATTTTCTGCTTAGGCATGTGTAACTGCAGGTGCACATCCTTGTACGTTAACACTCGCACACACTGGATGAGAAAATCCATCCTGTCTATACACAGGTCCTAGTGCACCCGAAGAGCTCAAGCATATATGGAGATTATCTGATGAAAATTAGGCCCTTAGTGTCTTAGATTAGATCACATTTCATCCAACTCCATGATGACGATGTCATCCCACCAGTCTGTGCTTGTGGCACTGTTCCAGAAGTGCTGGTCTACATAGGGGGCATCAGCAACTAGACAGAGTGTCATGAACAGCAATCGGACAGTTTTGAGTCTACCATGCCTAGGTACACCTCCTCCTCCTTCATCATAAGGTATGTCAAGTGCCTTTGGTGGGTCAGAAAACACTGCGGAAATGTCCGCCAGCATGTCACAGGAGCTCTGCCTGTTTCATGAGACAAGGGTGAAAGCTAAATCAAGGGAAGTTCTTCAAGAGGCACCTCCTCCATGTTGCTCGCTCTGATAGCTGGAAGCACACACAGCAAAGTGATTACTCAGCAGGATGTGTTGGTAGGCTGTTCAAACTTCCTGAAACATGCAACGTGGGCAGTAAAGTTTTCCACTATGCACAATGTCAAAGGGCTAGAGAGGCCACATTTCGGGAGAGTGCTTGGGAATCTGGGGTATGGTTTGACTCAGGTCTGCGTGCTGCTGTGTGGTTGCCAGAGCCCCAGGTTAGAAAATCCTGAACACAGGGTTAACAATCAGCATTAGACGCTCAAGTCCTGGCTTCTCTAACACAAGTCAGCGGATTCCAGTCCCACTAACCCTGAGCTTACAATGTGAAGTAGACATATGCAAAGGGAGATTGTGGAATCCCTATCATTGGGACCTTTTAGGAACAGGACAGACAAACACCTGTCCAGGATGGTCTAGGTATACTTGGTCCTGTCTTAATGCAGGGGACTGGACTTAATGATCTCTTGAGGTCCCTTCCAGTCTTATATTTCTTTCTATGATTCTGAGGTCTATTTAGAGCATGCCAAATACTTTTAATTCTCTTTTTGACTGTGATCACATTATTAGACCATTACTATTTCAAGAGGGTGATTCAAATGTAGGGCTGGATGTGAAATAGTGCTGGGGCCTTCTGAGTTAACCACATCCACTGTGATCAAATTGGGAGGTGGGTAGGACAAGAGAAACTGTCTTTCGCTGGCACGTAATATTTTTTGTTGGCCTGCTTACATGTTGGCAGGACCCATGTGGGGGTCTGCCATATGATTTTGGCAGGGTCCCAAGAGTGCCTCATTAATAGGGAGGGCTACTCTGTAGAAGAATGTAAGATGTCCAATAGCTTGTGGTGTGACTCAGTCACCTCCTGTAGTGGCATCTGTAGTGCCTCTGCCACCTGCTAGGCCAGGTCCTGAAATACTTTAAAGTCATCTGCCATTGATGGTGGAGGGAGCATCACGGTCTCATCTGGTGATGACAATGAGAAATTAGCCTGAGGGGTAACTTCCTCCTTGGGCTTCAGCCTCTCGTTCCTCCACCGTCAGTTCAGGGAGCTCAGATGCCCTCGATGCAGCAGCTGAAGGAGGATGTCTCCTCAGTTGTTGATAGGCCACACTAGCGCTATGGGAGGCATGTTTGTCTTTGAGCCTGTCAGGGATCACAGTAGGGCCATTGCGAGGGTGGGGAGGGACCAGGTGGTTGGTACCAAGGCTGTCCATATGAGGGAGGCTGTGGATCAGGTGGATGGTATGGTTGTGGTCCATGGTGGAATTGGGCACTATACGGAGGGTGAGAAGAGCAATGGGAAACCAAGTCCTCTTGCTCACTTTCTGACTCAGTGGATGAGAAGGGTAGTGCATGACATGAGGTTGTTGGTGAGTCAGGAGCTCTGGGTGAACTCGGTAGAGGGGCGCCGGTACTGACCAGAGGCGAATCCAGCACATCAGACACCAAGAGGTCCATCGCGTAGCAGAAGACTGGTGGTGCCGAAGGTGTTGGTAACCAGTGGTGATTGTCGGAACTGCGATGCCTGCACCAAAGGAGTCAGTCATATGGTCCTGGTAGTATGGTCCGTCCAGGCCTGGCGTGCCACAGGCGGTATGATGTTTATGTCCATTCTAGGTGGATTTTCTATGTTTGTCGCACCAGACAGTACTGATGGCTCCTTGCCTGTGCCCATTGTGTCCTTAGGCAACCCCACGTGCTCTGTTGGGGCAGTACCACGCGAGCCCTGGGTAGTGGATTTAGAAAGCTTTGGTGCAAGCAGTACAGACAATCGAGCTGGAGATAGTCTTTATCTCGATCAGGGGTCTTTGTGGGGACTCATGGTCCTTTTCTTAGAGGCCTTGTGCGAGTGGCTCATGGACATCTCTTTGGGCTCACCTCCCTTAGAAGTAGAGGGTTGTGGTGAGGTTTTTCGCCATCTGGGGTCCTGATGATTGAAGGGCTGCCTCTGTGAGTAGGAGTTTGAGCCTCAGTTCTCCATCCTTTCTGGACCTGGGCTTCAGTTGCTGGCACAAACCACACTTCTGTGGGATGTGCTCCTCTCCCAAGCAGCGGACACACTGAGAGTGTCCATCAGTCACTGGAATAGATTCCTTGCAACTGAGACACTTCTTGAAGCCTGGAGAGCTGGAAATACCCCGTCCAAGGGGGGGTCCGTAGACAGATGGTTGAGGAAAGAATGAAGTCTTTTTTGTTTTGGGCAACGGCCAAATAAAAGATAAATGGAGTAAAGAAAGAAAAGAAGCTTAAAAATAGCTAAAGATTAGCACTTCTAAAGAGATTAATGATCCACCAACGAATACCTAAAGCTCCGTCTCTCACCAGGGGCAGCTGAAAAGGAAATGAGGAGGGTTTGCCTGCACAGTGCTGGTTTGCCTCATGGCAGCGCACAAGGAGGCAGCGCATGCGCAGGCTGAACAAACACTACCAACAAAGTTCTCCGATCAGCAGTGCAGGGTCTCAGATATAACTACAGTAGAGCATCCATAGGGACACTACTTGAAGCAGCAGAAAATATTTTACTGCACTGCACATCAGTTTATAACACTGGGTCATTTTTGTTTAGAGTTCTAAAGGAAGGAATTTCTCACTTTAAATAACTCCATATTCATTAATGAGCAGATTCAAGAAACTAAAGAATAATCATAAGGAGATGCATTCTTTCTTTAGGATTTTCATTATATCCTATTACGCACAGTTCAAGCAGTTCACTTTCAATTTCTCAGGCTAAGAGTGATGGATTTCTAAAAACCCAGGATTTACTTTCTCAGACTAATAATTTGAAAAAGTCAATCACACTTCAGTTTGTGGCCCAATAATAAAGAATGTGCAATAACAATCAACTAGAGTAACTTTAGTATCGAATAGTATTCCTTCCTGTTTTTTGTATGGCGATATGTTACTCATCATAGCAAGCATCTGCTAGATGAAATTTTCCTCCATTGGTATACACTCTTTCGGAATACAGGGTTCATTGTTAATAGCATAGTATAATTACTATGTATATGATCTGATAGTTAACTACAGCAATATATAAAAATAAAAACATCTAAATAGATAGAAACAAGGGGCATCTTACCTGGGTCCTGTCACGTGCATTTGTGTACCTGATCTTCTGGATGAAGTAAAATATTAACCATGCTGATGAAATTATCATCAAAACGATGAATGATATTGACACAAAGACTAGAGAGCCACGACTAAAATTCTTTGGAGGAACACGGGCACCAACTGCTATTGCCATCAGGACAGAGATGTTCTTTTCCAAGTAATTTAGGATCTCCTTTACCTTGGACTCTGTAATCATGACAGCAACAATGTCTCCAGTTCCTACAAAAAACCGATAAAAGAAAAAAATCCACTCACTTTACATCTAAAATTAACATGGCACATGCTGTTCACACCAAAGTTTTATTACACAGATGTCTGATGACTTATCTTAAAGGATGCATCTAGCCCTCCTCAACACCTTCTGGCTGTTTAGCATTCATGGCTTGTACTAAAGACAGATCTCTGAATTGTGATGTTAAGTTTCCACAGTGCTACCAGGTACTTGAATGCTACCGGATTTACAGATTGTCATGGGTATTGTTTTTTCAAACTGAGTGTGTACTGAACTAGTGTAAAAAGGTACATTTCTTATCCATGTATGATACCCCGCAAACTTCAGCCATGAGACCAGAGCAGATATTTATTCTCCTGGAATTTAAATACTATTCCACAGAAATCCCACTAGAAACTTTTACTTCTATAGGAAATAAAATGGCATTTATTAGGGTTTTTGTTTTGTTGCAGAACTTCACAGGTATCATCCATGTAAAGTGTAACGTGTTTTAAAAAATAATTACATCTCTTAGGAAGCCAAGTAATTAAGGGAGAAAAAGTAATTCTCAGTTCTCTCCCTCAGGGGGCACCACAGTGTCAAGTATGGCAGCAATCTGTTGGGGGCCTATAAAATATCTGAAGAGGGAGGGAAACAGCATAGGTGTCCACAAAGTACATGCAATTAACTATCAAGTTGTAGCCCTATAAAATTTAAGTAACGCAGAGAATATGGCAAACTCCCCCTGCAGTGTCAATGAATCAGATGAAGTGACTGAAGTCGTCAAGCTCCCAGCTCAAATGAGCAACACAATTTCCAGGCAAAGAACTTGATCTAGATATGAAGCTGTTAAGGCTTTCCCATGAGGTAACAGATCTAGTAGGCTACTATAGTTACTACAGTGAAAATCACTGCAATCAGGAAGCAGGAGGTAAACAATTAGGCAATTCGCTACCGCCCATAAAAAGAGAGCATTGTCTCTTTTTAATCAGACTGAATATTTCTAGACCAGGAAAAGCCATGGAGTGAAGAAGAGAAAGACAACTCAAGATTACCAATAAGCAATTTTCTCATCATGTGTCTTATCTCTTTTCCATGTTACAGCATCAGGTAGGAAGCCTAGCAAATCAGCCATGACCTTTCAAACTTCATCATGTGTGGAACAGTTTGGTGATCTGCATAAAAGGGACCTTAGAAGAGGGGTGAGAATCTTTGGGAATGATGGATTATTCTTGGTGTGGTCCATCTGAAGGAAAAGCTAAGGAATAAAGAATTACCCTTCAGTGGTCTTGACTGTCTTAAGGTACCAAGTCCTTTTCTCTGTGTGCCCTTTGGAGATAGTTTTAGGATCACTCTGACTAGTCTAGGGAATCCAGTACTACGAGGCTTCTGTTGCCAGCTAAGGAATTAGTCCTGATAGACATTGCCTTAGGGTACCCATAGTTGAGTGGCAGCTGCTCTGGAAAGATGCAGGGTTCCCCTAAAATGGTCCGACTCCCTTGGTGACCCTAGGTAAGCCACTGCAAGAAGAAGGACAGAGAGCTATGGAAGAGGGACTCCAATAGTGAAGTAGCAAAAGTAAGTTTCTGGCCAGGTCACTCTGGAGTAAGGGAAAGCAAGGAATAAGTTGGGATGGAGAACGGGGGAAAAAGAACAAATGTCAAGATTCAGCAGAAAGCAGAGGATTAGATGCAGGGCCTGTCAGCTGTACAGTCAGAGCCACTGGCTCAGATTAGACAGAGCCCCTATATGTGGTGGAAACAGCTAAAGAGCAGGAAACGGAGCTCCCATAGAAAGAAAAGAGCCCAGCAGAAGAGGTGGTGGGGGTCAGAGTGAGTAAATTAGTAGGCTCAAAATTGGCTCCCCAACAAAAGTCTGGAAAGCTGTGTAAAGGATGTAAGAGGCGGGGGAGGGAGGAATGCTAGAGAGCCCAGAGGGACAGCATGAGGGAAGTACACTTATGTCAAGAGCCTCTACAAATTGAGAGAATATATGGCTCAGATGGAGAGACCTGTTTCTCCAAACTGCTTCTCTTCGCCCATATCTTTTTTGTCTCCCTTTCTTCTTGCTGTAGAAAAGCAGGGGAACAGTTTTTTACACTAGTATGAAGGAGGAAGGGCTTGCTTTAGATTAAAAAAGTGCAATCTTTTTACCTCCTGCTTTCTGGCTGGAAGGGAGAACATGTAACGTTTCTCTATAGAATGGTTTCAGAGTAGCAGCCGTCAGAGAACACATTTAACAACTCTCCTAAGCCCTGAACTCCCTACTATGAAAACCAGTAATTGAACAGGAAAGTGTAATGATGGATCATGCTTAGACTCACTATGTACAACTCTCAAAGAAATTGTCTTAATGAGCTTCTCAATGTCATAAGCATAGTTAACAGAATGGTACCTGCCCCCAGTCTCAGTAGAGAAGAAAAGCCCTACCATGAGAATTGATGTACATGGTAATTACTTGAAAACAAATTCCGTAGCCCATCAAGAACAAACAAGAGGGGTTCCCCACAACAAAGAACAAAAAAAAAACAAACAAACCCCATAAGACCTAATTGCTTAACAGTTTAAAATATTATAAACGAGTAGGGTGGAAGGAGTAACCAAACCACCACATTTAAAAGACCACGTGTAAAATAGGCAAAATCCAGTGTTTCATTTGGAACAGAGTATTTTTAAAGAAAAGTAGACATAACTCATCTGAAGCTTTAAACAAATAAAAACCAACACAAGTTATAGAAAATTAATTTGAATAGTAGAGCACCAGAGATTCACAGAAGATCCACTGTAGATTGTTGCTGTACAGGCATTGCCTCAATTCTTGGGGAAGATTGAGTGTTTCAGTTTCACATGAAAATGTACAAACTATTTGCTGTGATATTTACTAGATGATAGGGATTGAAGAAATTAAGAGAGCAGAAAGCCCAAACCCTCTATTTCAGTATCTCCATTTCCAGTCAGCACCTTAACTCGTTAATTCTATTAACAGGGCATTAATTGGCTTCCTACCCTGTACAGGAATGGCCTAGTCCATACCTGCAGCTGAGATTAGTACAAGACAAGAGCCATCTGTCCCTTGGCTGAGAAATCCTTTGTTAACACATCAGTGCTGCATATACTAAGTATTTCTGAAACCCTGAACAGTAAGGCTCATAGATGACACGTGATGATCAAGAGCAGACCATTTATTTATGCTCAGTGTTTCTGCTAGAACAGCAGGTCACATACTTTATTGATTCATATACCACCTTCTTAAAAAGAGTTGCTGTGAAGAGAGTTGATGGAACATTAAGCTCATGTACCACAATCTGGGAAACCCTACCCGACAGCCCTGTCTTGCTATGTGTCCCAATTAGTTACATACTGCCATCCTGGAATCACTCTAGTGCATCAGAATATCAGCCAGCAACAGCCAAACTAGTGTTTCAATACAAAAGTTATTCATGGAGAAATTGGCAAAGCACAACTGACTAAGATCTCATTAGCTTAGCCCGCTTCTCTCTCAATCAACTGCAGAAGCCTTTAACTTAGTCTTTGCCCTAAAGTGATGACAATCTGTCTTGGTCATGTGTTTGTACAATCCCTAGCACAAGGGGTCTGGTCCATTACTGGGGTTTCCTTGCCACTACCGCAATATAATTTACACCTAGAATGATTCAAAGGTAAACAGATAGAAACCACTACTACTGCTTCCGACTCTCCAAAAAAGAAAAGAAAACTAAGGAAGAAAGGAAAACAGGTTGTGTAATTATGAGTGAAAACTTTCTGTATGTTTTAATCAGTGGAAATTGTAAGATGGAAAGTTCTTTAGTATGCTAACACTAACAAAGCCGATTAACCCATGGAGAAGGGGAGAAAAAGTCTATCCAATGCTTCACATCTTACACAGCTTCAAAAGAGTTGAAGAAAAACCTCTGAAATACTGAACATAAAATTTTGAAAGTATTTATAGAAATAAACGTATGTATTAACAGTGAAGTCACATCCCAAAATGCTAATGAGAGCCAACATTTTAGTCAGCCAAGAACAAAGCTATTCTCCAGGAAAAAGACAACTGGATTTTCACTAAAACCAGCCACAGGTTGTGAACTAGGGACAGACACTAGATCTAGGATGCAATACTCACAGATGCCAACATTTAATTTAGACGATTCTTGTATTTCATATTAGTGTAGCTTTTCCTATATTAAATACAAGTCAGCTGGCCTGGCTGTAAATGTATGGGGTTAACGCTCTGCTGAATATCATTACACAATTTTTTATTATTATTTGATAGGGGGGAAACAAACCGAAAAGTGATAAAAGGAACTAAAGAAAGGGTAGAACTGAAAAGCAATGGAGCGACGAGGAAGGAGAAGTGATAAGGAAGAAGAAACTGATAGGGAAGAAATAGTGGAACTCAGACCAAGAATTTTTCCCCTTTACGAAATTATGTGAGATTAAGTTTTGTCTACTACCAAAATTTTATATTTTGTTAGCTCACTGGATTAATCACAGAGTGACAGTGTTCACTCCTAGTTAATGTAAACAAGATTAAGAAAACAGGAAGACAGCTATTTCAAAGAAGAATCCTCATTTTCTCTCATATATTCCACTGTCCCTTCAGCAGTCTACTTTTAATTTCTTCTAAGGCTACTGAATCTTCTTTTGAAACTTATTGGATTGGCCACTGCGGGAATCCGGCTACTATATTAGACAGACCATGGGTCAGATTTAATCCAGTATCGCAATTTCTATGTCCCTATCTTAGTACTAGCAATAACATTAGAGTCCTGACCCCAACGGAGAGCTAGTAAAAGTCTACTGTCTGACAAATTCTCAGCTGACATCCTGGAGTGTCCACAAGCATCTGACTGAACAAGTTGGTGCCTGGTGACGACATGGCAAGAGGCAGATAAATGTTTTGTGAATATCTGACTCTTGCAAAACCCATAGAAGAAAAAGAAAAAGAGTAGGCTGACACCATTTAAGTTTGGTAACAATCCTTCCACGTCCTGCCTCACGTGGCTAAA